CACAGAAAACGAATTTCATGCACAAGCCAAGTGCCGCAATTCTTACATGCAAGACCAATGCAGCTTCAGGTAACTTTTCCCTTTTGTGTTTGTTCCTTAAATATAAGAATTTATAAAAAAAAAGTGTAAAAGCTGCAAATAAGGGGCTCAGCAAGTAATCCAAACAGAAACAAGACACAACGGCAAAGAAGACAAGACTTTGTTTTGAACACACAGGAACAACTTTTCTCTCGTCAAGTAGGGAGCTGGCCCGAGAGGTATTATAGAACTATGGTATGAATGCGAATGTGAATTTGTTATGAATGAGCCTGGGCCTGGGCCTGGGCCTGGGCCTCTTCGTTTTGTGGTTTCGCCCACTTACTGATTCAGCAAATTCTGTTGAGCCTGGGTAACGGGAATAGGAATAGGAATAGAAATAGGAATTTTTGATGAGATTTTTATTCAGTTTGATTTATGTGCATCTTTTTTTCTCTTTTCCTCTTTCTCTTTGCAGATTTTGAGTAGCTTTAAGCTTAGGGCGCCGCGTGGAGAGAGAGAGAGAGAGCGACTTTAATCGCAAGTAACGGATGTTCTGATTTTGCTTTTGCCCCACAGACCGACGAAAAGGACACAAAGAACGGAGGCTTATATATACACAATTAGCCACAGTGAATGGGTTCAGAGCCGGATACAACGATTGAATACGAAGAGCAGGAGCTCCAAGCGGGCCGCATACGGAAACCGCAAAGAAGGAACAACACTCCCCTAGGCGAGGATACAGCCAGAACCAGACCCAGACCCATACACAGACCCACAATCTGAACACCAATCCACGTCCCAACAAACAAACACAAACACAAACACAACAATGTCGGACACAACCTCTTTTGAGCTGGGATCGGCCTCCGACCGACCCCCGAATAGGTTCCAAGTGAATCCGGTCAACGGCAATAGTCGCAAGACACAGGCGCCCGCACCCCCAACGGGGCTGGCCGACGGAACCGGCGACAGCCAGGGACAACACGAAGTCTACCGCCGGCTGACAAACATCGAGGGAGACCTACTCGAGGACGACGCCTTCGATGCCACCCAAATGCTGAACAAACACCAGCCTAGGCAACAGAGGTGAGTGCGGGATGCGGGGTATTGGGTCCCATCCATCTCGTTGTCTCCATCTCGGGTGCGGTTTTTGGGGTGCCGCAACCTTTGCCCAGTGTGCCGTCCATTGTGCAAAAGAATGCAAAGTTTCTCTTCCGAGAGAGAGAGTTTTTCATTTGAATTTTCTGCTAATAGTTTAGTGTTTCATCAAACGAGGCTTTTGCTTTTGTCGCCTCCTCCTGTAATTATGGCGCTAACATTCCGCACTCGTTCAAGGCGGGGCTCAGGAAGTTGTCCGGAAATGCCTCCGGAATGCCTCAGAAGTTATGAGCCTACCTTCGGGGTTCAGCCTGCCCTTCACCCTTTCCGCGCACCCATATTCAGATGAGTGAGTAGATTTTTTGGGTATTCAGATTGCTGGCATCATAACTGGCAATTGCCCAGACCAGGCAGCTCCTTGTGTCTGTGGAATGTGCTGGCTGCTTTGCCTTTTAATCATTCACGCCACATTTGCTGCAACAGCAATTTGTACTAGCCAGGGCCCGGGCCATCATTCAGAATTGATTAAATTTTGTGGAATTTAGTCGAACTCAATGCCCTGGGAGTGGCCAGCAGCAGCAGCAGCAGCAGCAGCAGCAGCAATGCCTTTTGCCAGCGCGCATCTATCAAGTTACCCAAAAAGTTGGACGACCTTTGGCACCCTCAGGTTCAACACTCGACAAAGCAGCTAAGAGCCGAGGAGTCAGCTCGCTGCAGCTCGAAGCCGATTCAGACAATGCCACTCGACGAATCACAGACTTTTCTAATAACAATCATTTACGCCTGTGTTCCCTTCGGGCAATTTGCATAAACATCATGGACCTGAGTTGGAATACTGTAGGTGACCAAAGGAGCAGCAGGAGCAGGAGGTTCTCCTCTGTTTGTTGTAAACAAAAAATGTTCATTTCAATGTGACGTCACCTGGCGCCAAAGCATTAGAGTCCCAAAATTCTCCCTCAAGTCGAAGTCCATGTTAATGAGGCTTATGATAATGCTTATTATAGCCCCGTTTATTGGCCACTTGGCAGGCACTCGTCGCGAAATGCGTTACGCTGAGATGAGCGTGAGGCGCTCCTTCTTCCTGGTCGCATGGGGCAACCACGCCCACAGCCCACAGCCCTCCTCCCTTATGCCTTCTAATCGGCTCAAATTGGCAGCCATCGTGGCTGCATAATTTAATGCTAAACTCACTGAAGGAGACGCTCAAACAAGTGATTTGTGCTCGCTCGCAGATTGATAATTAATTTCTGATATCAACCATGCCCATGCTCCGACCTTGACTAGCCTTCCTCTTGATTGTTGAAGCCTGCGGCCCAGCCAGATAGAAGCCAAAGGAGTCAGACAGACAGGCACACACATGCCCCATATATCATATCACACAAATATCTTGGGGCCATTGATGGGGTCATACTGGCTGTGTGCACACTCGACTACCACTTGCCACTTGTCTGCTTTTGCTTGAGGAACATGGCCAGAATTTGTAAAGAGCTCTATGGAACGCGTGTAATCAGCAGGGTGCCAGACTGCCAGTCACTGCCACTCGGCCAGGGAATAGCGCCAACACAAAAAGAAAGCCAAGTGCAAGTCGGTTTGCGTGGCTGTGCCCAAGGCCATTGGCAGGACCCTAGCACAATGAACAGCAATCAAAAACTGCAAGTTTCCAATTGATTTTAAATTACTTTTTCGCAGGCCAATCGATTGCCCCCACAGCTGAGAAAACTCACAATTAAAGCCTGTAGCTTAAAGTAGAACCTTTTGTTCATTGTTCCAATTGGCAGGCAGTCCATCAAGAGCAGCTTTCGCGACAAGGACAAGCCGTCGCGCTTCAGGGATCTGAAGCAGACGACGACACGCTTTCAGGTGGATCCCAGGAGCGGCGACTCGGACGAGTCCAATGATTCGCAGGAGGAGCGCGAGCTGCTCGACAGCGAAATCTACGATACCAAATATGGTAAAAGTTTTCGGTCAGTTTACCCCTTTGCCGCCACTTTTGTCTCCACTTCCACTGACTTCCACTGACAGGCACTTTACGCGCGAGGCGCTGCCACGTTTGGACAACTACCGGAACATGATGTCCATTCAGGCGGCCTACCGTCCCACACTCGATGAGCTGCACAACGCAACGCTGACGGGCAAGGTGAGTGTTCCCTCTCTCTCTCTGCATCCTTTTGGGTGTTCCTTTGGGTTGAAATGAATATTAACGCCGCCGCAGCTGTAAACGCCTCCACAGCCAAGGGTCACAAATAACAATTTTGCAGGCGCCATAAAATAACAATACGAATGCTTTACGATTCGCAAATTTAAATTTATATTTATACGCACAACGCCCCGTACTTTCCCCCTTCAATCCTGCGCAAATTCAATGCCGAGCGCCGCAGCATCCGGCAATCGATTCTGTGCGGTGGCGCCTCCCTGCCTGGCGCGTGACTTGAAGAGAAATCCCAAGAAATCCTCGAGGATTTTTCATGTCAGTTGCAGTCATTGCAGGCCCAAAAATTGCACTAACTGAATTGTCCTGCGACAACCGAACCTCAGACGACAGCCAGAGGCCGCTGACTTTTCCGACTCACTTTGAGCGCACTTTGAGCCTGGGCAGGCAGGGGGCAAACATCTAAATGCAATGACACCAATTGGCACTAATTGATTTCCACACTTTGCCCCAATGATTGCCGACAATTGAAGGCGTAAGGCGTAAGGCGCAACGTAAGGCCTGGCAATGACTCGCTTCTAAATGAAATTGTTTTCCTTTGTTTTCGGGGGCAATTAATGCGTTGCACAACAGCGCGACACACACAGCAAGGAAAGCATTGACCCAACACCCTTTTAGAGCTGACTTAAAGCTAATTAAACTCAAAATTGTTGAGGCAGATTCAGCGGCCAATTGGCCGCTGGCGGGTTGTCGAGTTCAAACGGTTCAATTGGTTTAACCGCTGGGACTGGCGCATGATTAATTGATTAGAAATTATTAAGAACATTAGGCAGCATTCAAGGGGGGGGTGGAGGTCAGATTGTTGAAATTATTGCAGCCAAGATGGGAGCGGAACTGCGGAACTGCCACTGGGTTTGCGGTTAGCTCTGCCGGAGTTTGCTCGGCGCAAAGCGAAGTTCCTGCGGCATCATTTATCAACTGTTGAAAGCTTTATTGAAAATGTTGGAATCTCCACCCACAGAACACGCACAGCTTGACGCGGAATCAGGATCCCGAAACGGGCATCATGAATGGCATCCTGAAATTTGGCTGGATCAAGGGCGTGCTCATACGCTGCCTGCTCAACATTTGGGGCGTGATGCTCTTCCTGCGCCTCAGCTGGGTGGTGGGACAGGCGGGCATCATCGAGGGCTTCGTATTAATACTGACAACGACCGCTGTCACGACCATCACGGCATTGTCGATGTCAGCGATAAGCACTAATGGTGTCATCAAAGGAGGTAAGTCCCAAGTCGCAGCCTTGGCCCTTTGCTGGAGACATTTATAAATGGTTTTGATGCCCCATCTAGGTGGCACCTATTACATGATATCCCGCTCGCTGGGCCCCGAATTTGGTGGCTCCATTGGCCTCATTTTCTCGCTGGCAAATGCCGTCGCCTGTGCCATGTATGTCGTTGGCTTCTGCGAGTCCATGCTGGCCATGATGACGGACTTTGAGTGGCAAATTGTCGACGGTGGTGTGCAGGATGTGCGCATCATTGGCTGCGTCACCATACTGCTGCTGCTGATCATCGTTGTCGTTGGCATGGAATGGGAGGCGAAGGTATGCATAGATTATGGCCCCCCAAAGAACAATCTTTGAGTTCGTTTTTCTCGGTTTTCCAGGCGCAAATTGGTCTCTTGATCATTCTGCTGGTGGCCATTGCGGACTTTGTTATTGGCACCTTCATTGGACCCAAGAACGATGAGGATCGCGCCAAGGGTTTTCTGGGCTACAATGGTGAGTCCCCCTTGCTGCAGGATTTTCTTGATTGTTTTGTAAGTTTTCTCTGCCCCCAACAGGCACCACCTTCAGCACCAATCTGTTTGCGGATTATCGCGAGGAGAAGGGCGTGCAGCATGACTTTTTCTCGGTGTTTGCCATCTTCTTTCCGGCTGCCACAGGCATTCTAGCGGGTGCCAATATCTCTGGTGATCTGAAGGTATGTCGCTGAGCACTTCTCTCTGCATATATTTTTGCATGTTTTTTCTGCTTGTAGGACCCTCAGAAATCCATTCCCAAGGGCACCATCTTGGCCATTGTCATAACCACTGCCACGTATTTGATTATGGTGCTGCAGTGCGGTGGTGCAGTGGTGCGTGACGCCACTGGCAACATTTCGGATGCGATCAATGGCTCCTTTGCGTTTCTCGATTGTGCAAATGGTGGGTGGCTGATCCTTCTGCTGCTTTGCCTGAATCAATTGCATCCTTCTGCCCCCACAGGTGACTGCAAGTTCGGGCTGCAAAACTCCTTCCAGGTGATTGAGTTGGTCTCGGGCTTTGGGCCGCTCATCTATGCCGGTTGCTTTGCTGCCACATTGTCCTCGGCGTTGGCCAGCTTGGTCTCGGCTCCCAAAGTGTTTCAGGTGGGCACAGAGCTGCCGCTTGCGGTGCCACTACTGACTGCCTTTTGCTCTACTTTCCCAGGCACTCTGCAAGGATGAACTCTATCCGAAGATCGTCTGGTTTGCCAAGGGTTTTGGCAAGAACAACGAGCCCGTGCGTGGTTATGTGTTGACTTTTATCATTGCCTCCGCGTAAGTCTGGCTGGGTTTTAAATGGTTTCTAGATCCCTCTTTGAACTGTCTTCTTTCGCTGCTCTACAGCTTCATTTTGATTGGAGAACTCAATCTGATTGCGCCGCTCATTTCGAACTTCTTTTTGGCCGCCTACATGCTGATCAACTTTAGCACCTTCCACGCCAGTCTGGCCAAGCCCGTGGGCTGGCGACCAACCTTCAAGGTACGCCCTCTAGTCGCTCCTCTCCTTCAATCCTTCAATCATCCTCTTGTGTTTCCTGTTTCCTGGCAGTATTACAACATGTGGCTGAGTCTGCTGGGCGCCATACTCTGTGTGGCTGTCATGTTTCTCATCTCGTGGGCCACCGCACTTATCACGTTCTCCGTGGTGCTGGCTTTGTACTTAATTGTGGCCTATCGCAAGCCGGACGTCAACTGGGGCTCCACCACGCAGGCGCAGACGTACAAGAATGCTCTGATGTCCGTGCAGCAGCTGAACAATGTCGAGGAGCACGTCAAGAACTATCGTCCGCAGATCCTTGTGCTCTCCGGGCTGCCCAACACACGCCCCGTGCTGGTCGATCTGGCCTACATGCTGACCAAGAACCTCTCGCTGCTCGTCTGCGGGCATGTGCTGCGCGGCTCCAGCTCCCAAAAGTATCGCACATATCTGCAGGAACGTGCCGCCAATTGGTTCCGCAAGCATCGCGTCAAGGGCTTCTACGCGCTGGTGGACGGTGAGGACTTTGAGGCGGGCACACGCGCCCTCATGCAGGCCACAGGCATTGGCAAGCTGAAGCCCAACATTCTGCTGCTGGGCTACAAGACTGACTGGCAGACGTGCGAGCACAAGGAGCTGGATCAATACTTCAATGTGATGCACAAGGTAGGCTCCCAGCACTTGCTTCAGTCCCTGTCTGCTGTCTGCAGCTGTCTGCTCTGCCCCCTTTAGGCCCTGGACATGTACCTCTCGGTGGCCATTCTACGCGTGCCCCAGGGACTGGACTGCTCGCAGCTGCTGGGCTCGCAGGATGGCTGGAAGACGGTGTCGGAAGTGCCGCGCACACTGCAGCCCAACGAGAGCTCTGGGGACCTGCAGGCGGCGGACAGCAGCGCCCGGAATGGCCTCGGTGGCAGCATTGACTCGCTCAGCCGCAACGTGTCCGTGTCCCAAGGTGAGAGATGGCGGCAGTTCGCGGCAGGAATAATGAATAATTGCCATCTTTGATTATATTTTGCATGAAACACCGTCCCCCCCCCCCCCCACACACACACAATAATTCCGCACCTAACCCAACACTCTGCAACGACCACTTTTTGCACCACAAAATACGTAAAACCGAAGCAGAGGAAGGCAGCGGGATCGCTGGCCAGGCCCTGCTCCACGCGGAGAACGGCCTGAAGATGGTCAAATGTAAGTAGCATGAAAGCCCCCGCCACAAGTGGCACGAAGTTTCAATCAAAGGTCTAAACTCTACTCCCCCCCCACCACGAATCTGTGATTACGTATACGTAACGTATGCCCCCGTGGGTACATGTTTCCCGTTTGGTTGTGGGCAACCTTTGTGCAGTGCGCTTTAAGCAGAGTCTGCGTCGTATGCGCTCCTGGCCCGGTGCAGGTGCAGGTGAAGTTGTTGTGTTTTTAGGCTAATGCTTTACGTGTCCTTGAAGTGCTTGCAAATGGGAATGTTGTTAGGCTGCTGTAGGCTGATTAGGTAAATATATGTACACGAATATGAATGCCGCATGTGCCTGGCCCGGTTCTTTCTTAACCCTTTTGAATGCCCTGCCTGTTGCCTTGTTGGCTGTTCCAATTAAGCCCATAAACTTGCCACAAATTAACGAAACTAAGCCCAAGCTGCTGCTGCGAGTCCCTGCTAGGATCCCCCACATGGCACATGGCACGTGCCGCTAGGGACAACAAATAAAGCAGCAAAATTGAATATTGAAAGGCTTCCACTTGCCTCTCGCCTCCGTGCATGTCCGGCATGAATTGTATCCTTTGCCCTGCCTTGCCTTGCCCTTACTGACTGCAATCCCCTCTTGCCTGCAGCCTCGAGCACCAGCGACCTCTCGTTTATAGCCAGCAATCAGGCCAAAGATGTTTCCGGCTCACCAGATCCACTCGAGGCCAAGACGGCCAATGCGGTGGTAAGTGTGAGCGGCAAATGCATTGTGTTAATTATTTATGGCTTCCGCCCCTGGCACGCCCCAGCCCAACACGCTGCGCAAGTCCAAGCTGAAACACGATGATCCAGCTTCGCTCTACAAGGGTCCTGGCGGTGTGGAGCTGCCCAAGGAGATACTCAGCGACCTCACGCAGTTTACGCGTAAGCGCAGCCATGCCGTCATCGATGTCTGGTGGCTCTACGACGACGGAGGACTGACGCTGCTGCTGCCGTACATCATCAGCACGCGGCGCACCTGGCAGTCGTGCAAGCTGAGGTGAGTACTGGAACGCGTGGAACTGGGAGACAGTTTTAATGGTGAATTTAAGCATTTGAATCCAAAGGGAAGCAAGGGATTTGTGACTTGTTTTTTCTGTTGATTTAAAGCTGGAATTAGCGCAGTCCTTTAATATTCCATGCCAAAACGGAAAAAGCATTCCCAAATGTTTTTCCTTTGAATTAATTAATGTGCAGCAAACACACATTTCGCAGTAAAACTCAGTGCCATTTTTGTACACTTCTCTGTAGGGTTTACGCACTGGCAAATAAAAACTCGGAACTGGAGTTTGAGCAGCGTTCCATGGCCAGCTTGTTGTCCAAGTTTCGCATCGACTACTCTGACCTGACGCTGATACCGGACATAACCAAGAAGCCGCTGGAATCATCCACGCAGTTCTTTAATGAGCTCATTAAGGACTTTGTGGTGAGCGAAAAGGACACAGAGAATGGCAACAGCAGCAGAGCAACACTCAATGAGGATGAGAGTAAGTTTGAGAGTCTCTCCCACAAGTCTCTGGCCGCAGTTCTCATCCATTCTGCTGCTTCCCCGCGCGTCTAGCACTCATAACTGACGATGATCTGCTGGCCGTGCAGGACAAAACCAATCGCTATCTGCGCCTGCGCGAGTATCTGCGGGAGCAGTCCACCAAGTCGGATCTGGTGGTCATGACATTGCCCATGCCGCGCAAGAACATTGTCTCCGCACCGCTGTACATGGCCTGGCTGGAGAGTCTCAGTCGGGACATGCCACCGTTCCTGTTTGTGCGCGGCAACCAGACGAGCGTGCTGACATTCTACTCGTAGGAGCAGCACCCGGAGACGGAGGCATTCTATTGTATTCTACTTACACTCACACTCACTTTTATTGTTAGCTCTACGCGTATTTTATTCTTAGCTGTATGCCACCTATGTACATACATTTTTTGGGAGAGGAGCGAGGCGGACACACACACACACATTGAGGACCCTTCATGCGCCTCTCCGCTGCCTTTCAAACGAGTTTCAATTTTGTTTTAAATACAGTGCAAGTAATTTTTAAAGCGATCTAATTTCCACACTCAACATCAACTTGAGTGTCAGCAAGAGTTTCAATTAAATTTGAGTTTAGTTTTCTTAGGCAAACAAAAACAAACCGTAAAGCTATTTGGACTTGCACTTGGCTGCCATCAAAAGCGGCTATTAATAAGCAAGTTGGAATGGAAATTTAATTTACTTTTCATCCGAAGCCGCAGTTCAGTGAGCGGAACTGCGTGGCCGAGTGCTGTTTGGTGTCGCAGAAATTCTCCAATTTCTCGAGCATTTTCTGACAGATTAACTCCCAAAAAGCATCATTTGAGGCAGTCCGAACAGCAACAAGGGAATCAAATTTGAATGCAATATTTTTTGCTTCTTAGAACTGACCAAAACAGAATCATTGAACATCTTTTGCAAAGCGTGGGGCATACATAAATATTTGGCCAGCAGCCAGCAGCCAGCAATAAATTAAAGTCACTGCATTCAAAAGGGCTCTCGACAATTTGTATGCAAAAAATGTGTGTTTGCCGGTTGCTTTTTCCATGTTCGAATCGATGCTTAATGCGTGCACTTTATTTGGTTGTAATTTGCACAAAGGGTGCAGCATGTGGCTGATGATTTGCATTTAAATCGAGTTGAGCGTTTATTTTGAATGGCCATTAATATTAATACGCTTGTCAGGCAGTGAAAGCAAAAGATCAGGCTAAAAGCCTGTAGGCTTTAGGCCTCAGTTATCCCTCGTAGATTGTCTTTTATGTGCTGGAGTTTTTTTGTGAGCCAACTTTAAGTACAGCTTGCGGCAGTCAAACAGCAAATTCAATATGCCCGCAGAATATATTTGAGTCAACAATTTGAGTATCGTTTCGGCTTGGACTGGGACTTGAGCCCTCGCCCCTGCTGCTAACTCTGGTTCAGTGGTTCCCGAAGGCAATGGACTTGTTGATTTGTGCCTGTGTTTTGCCTGTGCCTTAGCGTAAAAACATAAATAAATATTTAACGAGTCAGGCAGAAAGGAGCCAACACACATCGAGGAATCGAAGCATCGAGGAATCCTTTAGCAGAGTCTCAAGCATCCATTTTGCACTTTGCACACAGCACGTGGACACTTCACGCTGCGCTGCCTCGTGTCCCCTGGGGCAAACAAATTACTACAATTAGGCAACAACAGAACAGAGAGAAAAAAACGGAACATGTCTACTCTGCTTACTTTTCACTGAAAGCTTTCGCTCTCTCTGCATCTCTCTCTCTCTCTCTCTCGCTCTCCCCCTCGCTTTGGCAGCAAACTGTGAAGTGCAAATTACAGTTTGTGTCTTGAGCCTAAGTCAAGGGTTGCCAGTGAAGCACATACAAGTGGTGGGGGTGGGTGGTTGATTTCATCAAGTTTCGAAGCAGATATGATTTTCCAGTTGCCTGCCTTAAGTTGCCATAAACTTGATTCCCAAATTATCCATGCCAGGCAGAGCAGGAAAATATTCCTAGGATGCTGAGCAACTCAAAGTGGTATTTGTACACCAGATAGATAGATAGATACATAGATACACAAAAATAGAACACACTTCCGGTTGAAGTGGAGCAACATTTAGCCAAGTGGTGTGTGCCTTTATCTTGCGACAGCAACAGACTCCTTGGCGTCGCTTAAATCAATTAAGTTTTTCGACAGCAACAACAAGAGAATGTTGGATGTGTGATGTGCGAGGCCGGAAACATGGCCAAGGGAAAATGGATGAAGGGATGAAGGGATAAAAGGGAAAACCCGACCCTAATGCTTGCCAGCCGATTAAGCACTTTACGTGCTGCAGTTAGCGCTTTCTCTCCACTCCCGACTCTCGACTGACGACTGCGGTCCACGGCTCGTACATCAAGCTGAAACTTTGGCCAGACAAACGTCAGGAGAGCAAAACTTTATTATTTGATTGCCCAAGCCTGTCAACACATTGTGGGCCCCTTAATAAGTCCTTGGCAAAGGGTCCGCTGGGCAGTAGATGTGTGTGGAAGAGGGAACCTCACGCGAACTAAAAGTAAGGCACGCATCCCAAGCCGGGCCTTGCGAGAACTTTTCTAAACTCAATCCCAACAAATACTCGGGTGTGCAAAAAGTTTCATTCTGTGTGAGCTTCGCTGATTGTGGCACACACACATACACACACACACACGCGACACACTTGTAGCGGTGCTAGCCCTGAAACATGTTGGGGTGTGTTGTTGTTGTTGTTTGTGGCATGTCGAACTTTCTCGTTTTTGTATAAAGGAAGTATAAGACAAGGCAGGGAGTATGGATTCTGGATCGCAGTCTTCGTTTTGTCTTTCTCATACATTTAACAAAATGCAGTAGTGGCGATCCCTAGGAGAAAGCGAAAACGAGCAAGGGCGAATTCACTGCAAGGCAAATTCGCTACAATCCAGGCAGCAGCCACCAAAGCAAGAACGACCGAGAGCGAATTAAAGCGAGAGCGAAAGATCGGCGAGAGAGGCGCCTAGAGTAACCGGCGCAAAGCTTGTGTTGCGAGAGAAGACGTTGAAAAGCCCCACGCAAATACTCTCTTCTGCTTGTAACATACTTGTACGCGAATGTACCATATCCCGTTGCAGACACCGTTAAATGGGTATGCGGACAAGTCGTTGTATTGCTGTTGTTCCTTGTTCCTCTTTGTGCTGACGTTGTTGTTGTTGCTGCTGTTCCTTATACTGCTCTTGATGTTGCTGTTGTTGCTCCTTGTACTGCTGTTGCTGTGGCACTCACTGCCAGTTTTATGAGATTCACGCTTTGGCAACGGCTGCTTGCTGCCTCTGTCTGTCTCTGTGTCTGTCCTAGCGCTTTGAAGAATCCCCATAAATCTTATCACATTTTTGTGCCGTTTCTCAAATTGAATGTGTGGTGCAGATGAACATTTTGAAGTGTGCCCTGCCTGTCTGTTGTTATTTGCTTACACGCACTCCCTCAACCCCTGCCCCCTGCCCCCCTGCCATTTCTTTGTACAATTTCACGCCAAAAATGTCTTTCATTACATTTAAATGAAAAACTTGGTGCTCGTCAGAAGCAGTTGATTCATTGGTTATCGAGAGGAGAGTGTCAGAGAGAGAGAGAGACAGGGACAGGGAGTGCCCTTGGTCCCATAACTTCTCAGCGTTCACCGTTTACCGTTACTGGTGCGTGCGCCTAGCATTGAGTAGTGGTGGTGGGAGCTGCTGCTGCTGCTGCTGCTGCTAGGATTCCCTTGAAAGCTCTTCCTAAGTCTCTCTGCTCAACGTTCTTACATTGTTGTCAAGTTTGCTACGGATAAGCCGCTTGTCGCAAAGTTACTAATGAACCCGATGAAAGATTCCGCTTCATATTGATGGCATTATGATTATATTTTCAATTTATCGATTCGATTCATCACAATTCCCTCAGATCGTGTGTGTCGCTAAGCCTTTTCCTCGGAATCTGACAACTCACACTTCACTCACACTTCCCCCCGACCATAGAGGGAGCTCTAGTACATTGTTCTCGAATCCAATTAGCTGAGAATGCCATTGGACTATGCCATAATTATTGCGTATTTGCAGTTGTGCTTTTAATAAATACATTTCCTAGTACAATAAATCCATTATTAAGAACTCACTTAGGGTCCGGGGCGCTGCACGTTCTGCACGGCTGCAAACGGGTGTGCGAGGGTGCACCCTGACCTATATCAATAATTCAGTTATGGGCCCCACAGCGGGAAAGCAATTAAAAACTGTAGGCACGCACATCCTGCCAACTCGGCAACTCGAGTGTTGCCTTTCGGGGCCGGGAGCCAAAAGGCATAAATCACATGAAACCAACAGCACGACACGTGCCCCACCGCTGCTACAGCCGCCGTAAAGGCAACTCCCTCAAAGTTGAGCTGTCAGCGCCGCTCAGGCAAGAAGTCCTGCAAGGAGCGGGGTGGACTGGGATTACAGGCGGAGGGCAGCAGTGTAATTGCAAATTCCACGCCACGCACTTCAGTCCTAAATCAAACCGAATTCAAGCCATTAATGTGACCGCAATTGCATAAAATTATCACGCACAGCCCACAAGCCAGAAGGAAGTCGAAGTCGAAGTCGAAGATCTGCCGAATGAGTTCCGCGATTCCTGCCACCACAGACGTGTCAATGGCCTCTCCTTCCCCCCGGTAAATACTAGGTACACGTTTAGGCGGAGCTCAGAGCATCGTTGGGCGTGCAACGCTTTCACTTTTTAATTAATTTATCCGTGTGGCAATGTCAGTGACTGCGGCCGTGTCTGCCCCTGGCGCCAGTCTACAAAGTTCAACGCGAATATTGGCAATGACTTTCGGGAAAAACTTTTCAAGCGTTCGCGGAAAACTTTTCAATACTTTGAGCTGCAATTAATTGAACCGCGCTGACTCGGCGCTCTTGAACTGAACCCCCAGACCCCAGAGCCCAGACCCCGGTCCACCGTTCCAGGCAACAATTTGACTAAGTATGCAATAAAGATTTTATTGCTGGCACTAAGACACTTTTGAAAACGAGGCACGGCAAGAATGAGCATGAAAATTCGATCAAAGTAAATGCACAAATGGAATGGGGCATCGAAGTGGAGCACCTCGGGTGCTGCTGCTGCTCCCAAAGATGCCCTAAAGTGACTCCAGCAATCTTTCGTCCTCCACTCCAGTTTGCTGGAAAGCCGAAACGGAGAGCTCCTCTTATTTTGAGTGCCATCATAGCCATTATTTGCTTGCATTTCTTTTTCTACTTTTGCCTTGCACATCGAGTAGGCCATTCAGAGAGGGCCAACTAAAGCAGAAGACAATTTGAATGAACCCTGAAATCGAGTGCTACAGCCGGGTTGGACAGAGGCATGGCATGGTTTGGCCTGGCCCAAACCTTCTCCCTAGCGTACAATTCCTTCCCCCAAACGCGTGTCACGTGTGTGCCTTGAAGTGCCCAAAGGACAAAGAGAAAACTGGCAAAAATAAATACCAACAGGCAGGCAGGAAGCGACGAAAAATTGTCGAGCT